ATCTATTCTTTTGTCATTTAAAGAAGCTTTATCCTTCTTTACATCAGCAACACAATTAAAATCACCTAATAGTATAAACGTGCCCTTTATCCTTTCTTTATATCTGCTCATTATACTATTGAAAAAATGAACCTGTTTCTTATTAGGGGCATAAATGTTGAGACATGAAAATATTGTATCGTTCAGCTTACATATTATTTTTATTTTATTATTTATATAGCGCCATCAGATTCCGTAGCGCTGTACAATGGGTGGACTAACAGACATGTAATTGTAACCAGACAACTGGACGTACAGGAACAGAGAGGTAGAGGGCCCTGCTCAATGAGCTTACATTCTAGAGGAAGTGGAGTATAGTGACTTAAAGGGTAAAAGTAGGTGTACAAAGTAGGTTGTTAGAAAAGTATTCACTGAGGGCTTAGTAGGTAATTTTTGACAGTTGCAGAAGAGGAGTCATGGGGGGTGGGGAATAAAAACCTGCTAACAGTTTAATTGATATGATTTCTTGAATAAGTGAGTTTTCAGGGATTTTTTGAATGAGTGGAGACTGGGTGAAATTCTTATGGAGAAGGGAAGGGAGTTCCACAGAAGAGGTGCAGCCCTGGAAAAGTCTTAGAGGCGAGCGTTAGATGTGGGAGTATGGACAGAGGATATACGTAGATCTTTGGCAGAGCGCATGGGCCTTGACGGGACATACTTGTGTATTAGGGAGGATAGGTAGGTTGGAGCAGCATTATGTAGGGTCTTGTAAGCAAGCGCCAGGGAGTGGGGTTGATTTCGAGAAAGTCAGTCAGTCTGGTGTACACAACTCTCTTGAGGAGCAACAATTAAATCTTTGGATACTTTGGTAACAGCCGTTTCGACAGAATGACCAGTGCGGAATCCAGACTGAAGGGGGTCAAGCAGAGAGTTGGTTTTGAGAAAGTCTTTCAGTCTAGTGTACACAACTCTCTCGAGGATCTTGGAGGCAAATGGCAGTAGCGACATAGGGCGGTAGTTTGCTCTTACCTTAGGATCACAATGCTTATGTATTAATTCGTATTTAACGTTTTTAGAGATGATGATGGCTACACCACATTTTTTCTTATTCTTTAGAGATGATATGCGGATGATATTCTACTGACATTAACCCAACCCAAAATCTCGCTAGATGTTCTCTTAAAAGAGATCAAATTATATGGGTATTACTCTAAATACAAACTTAACATCAATAAATCACAAGCAATGGTAGTAGGAATTAATGAAGATAGAATGAATCCCCCGATTATTTGGGGATAAAAATCGCAAAATAATCTTCACAATTAATCGAATTGAATTATCAAACTAACTGACCTTTTTAAAAAAACTTGGAGAATGGAAAAAACTGCCCATGTCATGGATGGGCAAACTTAATATCATTAAATTCTAAATACTACCTAAATGGCTTTATAATTTGAGACTAATCCTTTACAACTTCCTCCCTTCTACTGTACACAATTTCAAATGGTAGTAGGAAAATATATTTGGTCAAAAAAGAAACCAAGAATCTCAAAAAAGTTTCTTTATGGGAATAAATCTAGTGGGGGAATGGGCTTTCCCGACATGTGGGTGTTTAGTCGAACCTATGCAATGTTGCATTTACATGCTATACATTCTCGCTTGTCTTGATCAGAAAAGTGAGATATGATTAAGCAAAAGATTTTAAAAATGAAGAATTATAGTAATATCCTACGGCTGAATACTAAAATCATAGATAATTCTAAAGGGACTTTTGTTGTTAAAGATATTTAGATCAAGTTAGTTCAATTATAATCCCTAGGCCAGGTATTACATGCCTTCTTATGCCCCCTCTAGTTTAGAGATACCATGTTCTAGAACATTTCTAATAAACGTAGGTTAGTACAAATATATCCCTATGCTCTGTATATGTATTACGCATCTAATATTCACTCCTTCCTAAAATCCCATCAACTAATATACATCCAGAAGGTAATAACAAACATTTATTTATTCTAATAATTATCTCAATTTTCCTACCCTTTATTCTTACATCGTCTAAATTCCAAGTGTTATATTGTGAGTCTAGAATTTTTAAAAAAAATTATGTGTTTTATTGTTTATTAGTGACATAATTATTTTTCCTCCATTTCCAAGCCATCTTAAGGCCCTTAGAGATTATATAGTGTATAAGTGTATTTTTAATAGTGATCATTTAAACACTTCTTCTCCTCTATC